CTGCTGAACATGGAGAGGAAAAGTCTTACCAGGAGATTACCGAGTCCCTCATAATCAAAGACCTTGTTTTCATACATGTCAGCCAACTCTTTGCTTAGTTGAATGGCTTTTTCCCACATCTCCATGGAGGGTGAAGGGAGGCAGGTGGGGGAAGAAGAGCACAAGCAAAATAAAAGACTCAGTTAAAAGCATTCATTACCACAGATAGGTGAACAAAGAATTCAGCTGATTTTAATTCAGGCAGTAATTTAACTCACTGCCAACTTCTCCTTAGAGTCCATGCTGTACATTTTTTGCAGTAATTATTATAGTCATATAGCTGTCTTGATTTGTAGATCTGGAAGTGATTTAGTCCTGGTAGAACCATCTCTCCAAAGTGCAACTAACACAAGTCCAGCATCAGCCAGACAAGCCATACTTATTGCAACACAAGAAACCTGTCAAAAGCTGTTACCCAGAAAAAGAAAGGAAAACACCTGTAGTCTTCTCATCTACCCCACATCTTGAACAGGGTTCATTTTTCAGATGCTCTTTGACTAACAAGGATATAGAAGGATTCAAACATCACCAGGACAAATACGTGCCCTGCTCATGCTGGTACTATTAAAAAGCCAGCATCAAAGCTAAGCATCAAAGGCCTGTTACGGAATCATGTCTGCTTTTACTCTTGAAACTAATCTCAGCCAGCTATATTCACCAAGCCAAGTATTTACCAGTGAACTCTAAGAACACTGCAGGTACACTCACTTTGCCCCTGTCAAAGAAGGAGATAATTTCTTGGTAGAGTTTTTCCTTGAGTTCTTGTTGTGAGTAGACATAGTAGCTGTCCCTCTGCAGGAGGTGAGGGACACATGGCTTCTCGGACCACTAGTACAGAGGAAAAAAAGGCAAAGTTGAAAGAACTGGCACCTTTTCCAATTAACCAATCCTTAGAGTGGACAGACTCACCTTCTGCAGGGATGCATTCAAGACTAATCCATCATCAATGCAAAGGGAGAGCAAGGAAGTTTTACAGTGATATAAACTGAGCTGGCTGACTAATGTCAACTAGGAATGCACAAACACTGCATCTCAACAGCATGGTTAGAATAACAAGTAGCCAGTAAGCAGTAACTTCTCAAACTACTCCAGCCGGCTGCTCAGAAAAACATCTGATTATGCTCTCCCACTATACACATATGCATCCAGAAAGCTTCAGCTCCACGTAAATTTTTTTCCTACATTAGAAGTTCATTTTAAAGCAGTTTTAGGATTCAGCTGAACTTGTACCATTTTTTTTAGTCATACTTAAAAATCACTTTAAAATGTTAATACAAGTTTAATTAAATCTGCAAAACTGGTGTGATTTTGGCTTAAGGTCTTCTGCAGAGACACTAACTGAAGGTGTATGCGTTGTTAATCTGTGGAAGACATGAAGAGGTTGACAAATCCAAGTTAAGACGCCTTACGCTAATGCATTTATACTGTTCACACAGAAGTGGAAAAAAAAAACCCCCGTACTATGACCCCAAACATGGACTTTTTCTCCCAGCTCACTACAGCACTCTGTTTCACCGAGAGTATGTAACAAATTGATGCTAATAACATTTTTGCTTTCATCCATTTAGCTGCTGTGCAATTTGCAAAATTGTGAAGCTCCTTAATGACCACTAGAACACAAGTAATGCAACATCACGCTAAAAAAAAGGAAAAGTGAACTGTTTATTCTGAGCTGCTTGCACTTCATTGAAAACCCATACCCCGACAGTGGAAACTAAAGTTTGCTTTATTGTAATACCTGGAGCAGCTCTGCATGGAGGAGGAGAGTATATGCTGCCTCTGTGAAGTTCTCACAGTCTGTGTGCAGGTCCCGGAGTTTATATAGATACCTAAATAAACAAAAAGCAATTGTTAAATTGTTACAAATGTGAAGAAT